GAAAGTTTTAAATATATATCTTTTTATCATGGTGGGGTAATGACAATATTTGGTTAGAAGTAAATACATTATCATTATGTACCAAAAAAAAAAAAAATACATTATCATTGTTGTTTCTGTATTTAGTTTGAAACTATTTGGAATGAATAGTTTAAAATAAAAGTTATTGATAGTCACGTGATTTACATCACATTTAACATGAACAAAAAAAGCATGAATCCATGATAGCTTTGATGAATACTGTTTTGTTTAGAGTTAGGGGTTATTTATGAATGCAACTTATTTTTCCCGGTGGTTGATTTGCTTGGTGGGGAAGAAGACCCATTTGAATTTTGAGTGAAGCTCATTCAAAGGCAATGAAGCATAAGGCACTTATGATTTTCGCCAAATATTACTTGTGTGGTGTCATAATTAAATGTGATTTTATGATATATTTAAAATAAATAAATAAATTGTTGTAATAAATATCCTTTTTTTTGGGAAAATAATAAACCTTATATGCTTGCTCTAATATATATTTTTTTGTTTATTAATATGCATGCTTCCGCTTGAATTATTTGAGTGTAAAATTTTGTTGAAAATGCTATTATTTTTGATTTATTATCAATAGAGATATTGCACTTTCTTGTGAATTGGATTGTGGTTTTGGACAGGAGAAAATTAATTTCGGTGTGAGAGTTTTAATGAATTAGTATGGTTGATTGCCACCAAAGTGGGATTACTTATACTGGTTTGTGAAAATTTCTTTGTAAAATTTGAAAAATGATTTTGGTTATTTCATGCAATTACCTGCCCAAAGGGGGTAATTGTGTGCTATAACTGTGAACTTATTTGGGATAATGTTAATGGAGGTGCATTGGTCTAGGTGATCTGTCTGCCCAAGGGGGACATATCTCTGAAGCCAGTGTATACTCATTGAGAAAATTTTCTATGAGGTTATAGTTGAAGTTATTGGAGGCTTATTGGGCTAGAGATCTATCTGCCCAAAGGGGATGGATTTTCGAACCCAATATTGTGCTCATTGATTAACTCATCTGAGGTTCTGACCTTGGTTTGTGCATTTTACCCAAAGGGAAATATACTATTATGTTGGCTTTGTTATGACAACTTGTTGTGCTAAATGATTAACTCATCCTAGCAACTTCTTCTTGAGATTGTAGATGAAGTTATTGGAGACTCATTGGTCTAGGAATCTATCTGCCCAAAGGGGATAGATTTTCAAACCCAGTGTTGTGCTCATTGATTAACTCATCTGAGGTTCTGACTTTGGTTTATACCTTGGTTAGTGCGTTCTGCCCAAAGGGAAATGTACTATTATGTTGGCCTCATTATAATATCTTGATTTAATTAGAGGTGTATACTACCCTGTAATTTACTCTGATGCATTCCTGTTTTGCCTTAATAATAACCTTCTATGTTTGATTCATTTTAAAATTAATATTTTGAAATATTTATTTTATTTTATTTACATGAATATTTATTTGGAATTATTTGCTCTCATTCATATTTAATTTTGTGAGTTCTTATTCATGTTTAATTTTGTAATAAATATTTATGTTCCTTTTTTCAAAATTTTAATCAATGAAAAATTGTTACATATTATCATGATTATAATGTTAGTATCTACTCTCCCGATTTTAGCGTAGATTTTTATGTGCTTTGTCAATTAAGTTTGATTAGTGAGGTAAGATATATAATTGCTGATATTGGGGATTGAAATTTGCGACACAAAGTACAATTTAGTAAATGCAATATGAATTTGGGAAACATATGCTATAAGGTTTTTCATATTATTTAGGTATGATTGTTGAGAATGTTATTTGTGAATCGTCAAGATTCTTTGTTAGTAAAAATTGTTGTTTGCAATTATCTGCCCAAATGAGAGTTTATAATATGCTGATTATTTCGTTAAAATTATTTCACTGCTCATAATTAATATAATTGCATTTATGAAATAAATATACTTTTGATATGAACGATAACAATGCCATAATAGAATTGTTGATTGGATTGAATTATGATTCATAAAGATGAGATCTACATTTTTCCTTATGAATTTTTATCTTGATAAGATATTATGTTAAAGTTAGCCTATAGTTAATGTGGAGAGTATACTTGATATTTCTTTTAGTGGGAGAGATATGGTTGATTTTGTGTGATCTTGAAGTTATTATGGAGTCAGTGAGAGATAACTGCTTAGTTTTTAATGTCAAGATATGAGTTTATTTTGAAATGAATTTTCTATAAGACCTCTTCGAAAAGGGTTTTGAATTCTTTATCCTTTTTTAAATCAACATATATTTTATTTTACATTAATGGTGATTTGATGAGGTAGTGACCTTCTTAAGCTATGATGAAAATAATTTCTTTTAGTATATTTACCATAAGGTCAGTGGGAGAAAATTTCCTTTTCTTGTATTGTATATTGTTGAGAATATTGACTGACTCCCTAACCAAAGGATTTAGGCCCATGATAAATACATGTGAAGAATATGGGCATTGTGAATTCCTTTGATTTAGTTGATTAGTGGGAGTTTGAATCATTTATTATTTCCTTGTCATGTTGAACCATTTATTTTGGATATAATTAATGCTTATTTAACAGACAAATTTTATTTTGAACAATTGATAAGGATTTGAATTTTATTATTGCATATATTTAATATATGTGTTTGTGTTTGTCAATTGTGAAATATTGGAACTCAGTGTCGTTGGGACCACCGTGCCTGTGGTTGACACTATATTGAAGTTTGAGGCATGATAATAAGATAATGGAACTCAGTGTCGTCAGGACCACCATGCCTGTGGTTGACACTATATTGGAGTTTGAGGCATGATTTTGGAACTCAGTGTCGTTGGAACCATCATGTCTGTGGTTGACAATATATGGGAGTTTGAGACATGGTGTTTTAGGACTACAGGGCCCGTGGTCGACACCATAGTTTATTGAATGATGGGTTTTTGATAAACCATGGAATTTCTCTGGCTTGAAGGCATTTGAGAGAAATTTGAGGACTGACAGAGAAAATAGCAGTTTGGCTATTATTTGATCATATTGGCATGCTATTTTCTTGCTACACTCCACACTAATGACTAGTCGACGGATTCAAGTAACATTTGTGACTATGGAAGGTCTTATATCCATAAAGATATAATCACCGCCTGATTCAATGTTTTGATTTTAGTTGGATGGAGTCATATTCAGATATCGCACCTTGGATCATGTGTTTTCTTAAAATGTGGCCACATTATAAGAATTAGTCCTTAGCCCGAGAGTCGTTTTCAAATAACTTATTTTCTTTTTCTCTTTTAAATTAAAATTTTACAATTGATTTTGCCCAAATGGGAGAATGTTAGAAATTTTTATAATAATTATGAGCTTCAATCAATTGTAGTTTTTCTTGTTTTAATAAAAACGGGCTAAGTCATGATCCATATGGGGGTGCAGTATAAAGCCCAATTAATTAGTGATCCTTTTGATTTGGGCTTAGATATCTGTAAACTGATTAGTGTGGGTAATAGTGTAGGCCTAACCCATAGGCCCATGATGGGAAGGGGACTAGGGTTAATAAGTTGGCTAGGTCCCCTCTGCATTCACAATGCGTTAGAAAACCGTCACTCCACAACTCGCCCCATCTACTGTTGTAATCAGGGAGTGGTGTGAATTGCAGAGGAAGATCTTAATCTTTCCATTGCAGGAGCATCAGAGGAAACAAGAAGCCCTCAAGAAATCAAGAATCATGTCTTTAACAAGTAAGCTTGAATCTTTTGGTGTTCTAATTTCATATAATCCTTATTTGGAAATTTCTTACATATGACAGACCAAATTTTAAAGTTTTCCATATAGGGTCAGTTCGGTATAGAGTAAAAATAAAGGTGAAAATTTTATGAATAAGTTTTATTTGTAATATTAAGTAGAAAAATGATGCATGGATTTTTATTTCAATTTATAACCCATGCCAAACTGATTCTAAAGTTTTTAAGTGTTCTGACATGAAAAAAACTCATCATTTGACAAAAATTCAAAGTTATACACTTTGTCACAATGTTTAGCAAAACATATACTTACTGAGTGGTAACAAATTGTTATGTCGTGTTTTATTGAGGAAAACCATGATAAATAACTGTGCAGCATATGAAAAGAAATTTCTAGATTTGTTTTACATTGAAGAATTCATGATTGGGTTTAAAAATCATATTTTTTGGTTCTTAATTTAGTCAATCCCTCCCATAAACCCATTCCCAGCCAATGAAGTTACTCCTGACACCAAATATTAGCTAAAAGAACAAAATCTCCACCCCTTGGCCCTTGCATGCCTTGGAATCGAATTTTTCAGGGAACATAATATGGAAGTCTTCCTTTACACTTACAAGTGATGAACAAATTCTAAAACAAAGGTTTTGGTTGATCTCAGTCTTACTTAGTCTTTGATGGAATCAGTTAGTAGCTTAATTAAATCTCTCACTGGGCCCCTTCCAAGCTTCTGGACAGTTGATAATGCATGCAATCTGGTACCAAAGCACAAGGATATGATGTTGCTATGAATGGGTGGAAGCTCCAATCAAAAGAAGGATTTTGGGAGAGAGGTGATTTTCTACTCAAGTGTCTAGGAGGTGAAGTGTGCATGTGGAAAGACAAAAATAAAAAGGGGATGATGGCTGGAAACATATAAATGTATTCCACCTAAAAAAGCGTGACAAGTTTGACTAAACAAGTTTCTTCATAAATAATTTAAGATTAAAATATTAAAACACCAAACATATGTATTCATGCACGTACTTTCTGGTTAACTGGGTACTAATAACATCTTTCTTTAAAAAAGTCAAGGTTGATTGTCTACATATGTATATACATTACATTTGTTTTGCATAAGGAATATGATTCATCTCACTCTAAGACAAAAATTACATAAAGAAACCAATAAAAGACTAATTTCTATATCTAGAAATGAATCCACAAAGAGCTAAGGACCTTCCCACTCTGCAATGTGTGAAGCATTCTATCTTTTTCTTATGCAAATCTCCAGATGGAGATATGCATAATTACCAGAACGGTCAAATGGAATCACAAGGAACCCTGATGAAGGAATATCTGCAATGCCCCTTTGAATGTTCTTGGTAAAAGACTTCAACATTAGACAGCATCCCTGAGACTTGGCGACTATAGCATAAGCATGCCCTGGCTGAGAAGAGTTAGGCCCCATGCAGCTAATAGTGACCACATTTCCCATATTCTCAACAACATTGTTTTTGAGAATAAACATATTTCCATCTGTTTGCTCTTGAAGAACAAGGAATTCATCATAAGGATTCACGGATACATGGAAGTTGTGATTGTATAAAAATTGGATTCCAGAAGTTTTATGTTTATTGCTGAAGTGGAGTGATAACTCCTTTGATGAGGCAACAAAGTCACAACCTTTGTGTGGGCAGAAACATGGAATGTGGATACATTTCTTCTCATGGTTATTCCTTTCACTGTAACTGCATGTCTCTTTGCAACCATATTTTGCATTAAGGCATGATATGTTAATAGATTCCAACACTTTCTCAATAGCTCTGCAACGGTTGTAAGGAATGCGAGATGAGCACTCAAGACACTCCCTTCCAAGAGCACAACAGGTAAAGCAAGCAAAATGCCCTTTCTCGCACTGTATTGCCACAAAAATCACAAATAAAGCTATTAAATTAGATTCTGCATTATATGGTACCTTATAACGAACAAAAATAAACAAATGCCTTAGAAAGGCTTGCAAATTGTAGTAAAAAGTTCAAATTATACACAACTAACAAGCCAGATAACAAATAAAAGAAACACAAACAAAAAGAACCACAAGTACCACAACAAAAACTTCTCATACCAGGATTAAAAGCATGCACAACAGCTTGTTTGACTAAGAATCTAAGATTAAGTTCAATTCCTAGTGATGTATCAGAATGATACTTAATACAGTAATGAAAAAAACAGCTTACTTAATCAAAATTTTCTAGCAATAAGCTCACATAAATTAAAGTCCATATCACATAAAGCTTTTTTTGGTCTCCTGTTAACAACAGACATGATATATTGGATATGAGACTCTACCTAATTCAACTTTGCAACAGAGCTAAATAATATAAACTGTTATATTTCGAGTAATTAGCTATTTATTTAGATAAATATGAATGAATATGTGATACATTAGTATATGTATATTTTTTTTTGATCATAAGTTAACTTATGATGCAGTGAGGAGCACTTTTAATAGTAATTTCAAAGAAATACCCTTACCTTTCCATGCAAGTATACAAAAAAGATGGTGCAAAGACTAAAAATTATAAACTGCTAAGACTTGAGGCACTCAACAAATAACATTAGCGGAGGATCACCATATATATATATATATATATATATATATATATATATATATATATGTGCGTATAATCAGTGAACAGTAACTGATAAATCAAATTAATCAATAGCAAACAGAAAATTTTCATTCCATATAATTTTGAATTTGATTCTCGAATTAGGGTAAAACCGATAGACAATCACATTTTTTCACCAAAAAACAAATTAAACTGCAAATTAATGAAAAGAAAACAATAAAAGCTGAAGTTTAAGAATGATACATGGGGCAAAGATATATTATACCTAGAAGACAGGAATAGTCAATGGTTGACAGCAGCTGCAGCAGTCAAGGACTTTAGGGTCGGAAAGGGTGGCAGAAATAGGGTCTATGCCGTTAAACTTAGATGTTGCTTCATCATCTTCCATAGGATTCTCTTCTCCAACATCCTCGTCATGATTTTCACTCCCTTGACAATGCACATAGTCTTCCAACTCAATTTCACAACATTTTCCTTCCTCTTCCGGATCTTTCTCTTCCTCTTCCTCCTCAACCGGTTCTTTTTCTTCTTCTTTTTCGACCACATACTCTTCCGGATCTTCTTCTTCTTCTTTCTCTTCCTCTTCCTCCTCTACCGGTTCTTCTTCTTCTTCTTCTTTTTTCTCTACCACATACTCTTCCGAATCTTCTTCTTCTTTCTCTGCCACATACACTACCGGTTCTTCTTCTTCTTCATCTTCCAGCAGAGGCTGTCTGATGTATTCATATTCAATAGTAGTAAACCTACGTCGTTTATGGTTTTGGACTGGATTGCAGCTAGATCTTTTCCTTTTATGGAAACGATTAACCGAACCTTTTCTCCATCTCTCTCTCAGTTTTCTTTGCTGTCTTCAAACCCTATGCTCTCTCTCAATTTATTTACATTAGGATTACCGCTTTATATTCTCTGGTCACGTGCCTTCCCAGATTTAGTTAAACTCTCGATTTTATATCCGAGCCGTTATGATTTGTTAAATCTTTAAATCCTTATACGCCAAGTCACTACAAGAAAAAATCGAAATTTGCCGCGGAAAATTTCGACCCAGTTTGAACAACTGCACTTTTAAGTATAATGAATAATGGCATTTATCTAATTTTCTTTTCTTTTTGTTTTGTTATTTAGTTGAATTTGAAACCCTGATTTCGTTTAGAAATTGTATGTGCGTTTTAGATTTTACTCTTTTTTTATTCAATATCTCTAGATACCGAGGGATTTTGAGATAAATTAGTGTAGCACTTTGTATTTTAAATAGGGAAAACTTCAAAAAAGACTCTATAAGTTTTTTAATTATCACTTATCCCCCTCACAAAAATTTCGAATCATTTACATCTTTATTTCAATTTTTTCATCATTTACCCCCCTGATTTATGTTTTTTTTTATCACTTACCCCCTCATTTAGGGGACTTAGGGGGGTTAATGATAAAAAACTTTAAGTCAGGGGGTAAATGATTATTATAACGAAATCAGGGTTTCAAATTCAACTAAATAACAAAACAAAAAGAAAAGAAAATTAGATAAGTGCCATTATTCATTATACTTAAAAGTGCAACTGTTCAAACTGGCTCGAAATTTTCCGCGGCAAATTTCGATTTTTTCTTGTAGTGACTTGGCGTATAAGGATTTAAAGATTTAACAAATCATAACGGCTAGGATATAAAATCGAGAGTTTAACTAAATCTGAGAAGGCACGTGACCAGAGAATATAAAGCGGTAATCCTAATGTAAATAAATTGAGAGAGAGCATAGGGTTTGAAGACAACAAAGAAAATTGAGAGAGAGATGGAGAAAGGTTCGGTTAATCGTTTCCATAAAAGGAAAAGATCTAGCAGCAATCCAGTCCAAAACCATAAACGACGCAGGATTACTACTATTGAATATGAATACATCAGACAGCCTCTGCTGGAAGATGAAGAAGAAGAACCGGTAGAGTATGTAGCAGAGAAAGAAGAAGAAGATTCGGAATAGTATGTGGTAGAGAAAAAAGAAGAAGAAGAACCGGTAGAGGAGGAAGAGAAAGAAGAAGAAGATCCGGAAGAAGAAGAATATCCGGAAGAGGAAGAAGAAGAAGAAGATCTGGAAGAGTATGTGGTCGAAAAAGAGGAAGAAAAAGAACAGGTTGAGGAGGAAGAGGAAGAGAAAGATCCGGAAGAGGAAGGAAAATGTTGTGAAATTGAGTTAGAAGACTATGTGCATTGCCAAGGGAGTGCAAATCATGACGAGGATGTTGGAGAAGAGAATCCTATGGAAGATAATGAAGCAACATCTAAGTTTAACGGCATAGACCCTATTTCTGCCACCCTTTCCGACCTTAAAGTCCTTGATTGCTGCAGCTGCTGTCAACCATTGACTATTCCTGTCTTCCAGGTATAATATATCTTTTCCCCATGTATAATTCTTAAACTTCAGCTTTTACTGTTTTCTTTTCATTAATTTGCAGTTTAATTTGTTTTTTGGTGAAAAAATGTGATTGTCTATCGGTTTTACCCTAATTCGAGAATCAAATTAAGAATTATATGGAATGAAAATTTTCTATTTGCTATTGATTAATTTGATTTATCATTTACTGTTCACTGATTATACGCATATATATATGGTGATCCTCCGCTAATGTTATTTGTTGAGTGCCTCAAGTCTTAGCAGTTTATAATTTTTAGTCTTTGCACCATCTTTTCTGTATACTTGCATGGAAAGGTAAGGGTATTTCTTTGAAATTACTATTAAAAGTGCTCCTCACTACATCATAAGTTAACTTATGATAAAAAACAAATATACATATACTAATGTATCACATATTCATTCATATTTATCTAAATAAATAGTTAATTACTCGAAATATAACAGTTTATATTATTTAGCTCTTTTACAAAGTTGA